CAGGGTTGTAATTTTTTTCCAGCCAATTTGGACTCAAAACCGGCACTGAAAAATTATCTATCAAAAAAAAAAAAAAAAAAAAAAATTTCTAAATCGGATGAAAACAGTGGAAACTCATAAACAACACCCGAGCACACACACATACATATATTGAAAATTATAGATATAGATAATATACTGTATATACCCAATTTATATGTTGATTCCTAACATTTTGAGCTGCTAATTTAGCTATCTATAATTTCACTCTATTCATTAGATAAGTCAAGCCTGTACCAAAATAAAAACATCACTAAATTATCATTTTCAGAAGATGGATTGATATGAGCAGATACGCCTTTTTTTTGGCATTTGTTACGCTTAAAATGTCGACTTACAGCAATAGATATATAATAAATTCTAAAATTCCAGAACCCCCCCTAAAACAACAACAACAACAAAAAATAAAACAAAACAAGAAACCAAGGAATTAAATTAAGCAAAGCAACAAAAGTATACCCTCGTAGACTAAATAAAACATTCAGTTGGAATTTCTTAAAAGTTATATAGATAAAAAAAAAAATCGCTGTAAAACACGTAGGGCAGAACGGCTGAAGCGTCGTAAACACAACAATAAAAATGAGTATAATAGACCAAGTATAAACAATGTAAATAATTAAAGAAAATGTATACTGATATTTCACCGAAAATTTTAATGTTCAGAGACACTCAAGTTAGAGTGTTACAGTCGAATTATCAATATACAGGGTGGTCCGAAGGTCCTGTACTCCTGACCCAAAAGTAAGGAGAACAATAGCACAAGTAATACATTAATCACATGTACTGCATTCAGTTTATTCACTTTCATTAACGCTGTCACACATCGAGAATCTCCATATGCCGCAAGTCTTTTGTCCATGTCGTTATCGCTTAGTTCGTTGTCGAATCATGGCTTAAACGATTAAAATCAAGATCCTTTGTCTTGCTTGTTAATATTGTGCTTTTGGGATTTCTGTAGCTAGGAAGACCGTTTTCGTAATGACTTCTTGGGTGATGCCTCCACCTCTGAACACGTATCCCTTGCGTTGAGGAAGGTCATCTTACCGGTTTATTCTTAATTGATGTCGTGAGAAACTGTTTATGTTCCCATTGCAGTATCGTACTCTTCGGAGGAGTTGGTTTGCCGAATTTTGCAGTGAAGATATGTCGAACATCCTCTTGCTAGAATGCACACGAGAAAGTCTCCATACACTTGCAAGCAGCCTCTTTTTCCTAACTGTAGTAGTTCATGTCAGTCATCTGAAATAGAAAATTATATTATAAAGAAGTGACAAGACTTTCGGACCAATATGTAGAATGTGTCGAATGTTATGGGAATAGACGGTTGTGGGAAAGAGGTTTGGGACAGAAAAAGGTAAAAAAAATGATGTGTTCAGGGAAGCAACCACATGGGGTTCTGTTCCATAAAAGGGAGAAAACTGCACCGGATGTCCTTCTTGCATTTGTAAAGCTGAGGGAATGACAGGGATTATAGTATGAATAAATGGCAGGGCGTTTCCTAACTGTAATATTCTGAACTGGTAAAAATAAAAAATGGACGTCATCTAGATATTTCCCATGGAGATGGCGACAGGTCTGTGCGAAAAATTTTGCTAAGTGTAAAAAGTAATCTGTAACATATAAGACTGCGTAAACATTTTGCACTCTATTAAGGCTGGAAAGTATTATATATATATATATATATATATATATATATATATATATATGATATTAGTGATCAGCATATATATATATATATATATATATATATATATATATATATATGTATATATATAACCACTTATATATATATATATATATATATATATATATATATATATATATATATATACTTTAGGTCAATATATATATATATATATATATATATATATATATATATATATATATATAAATTTCAAGAGGATAGAATCCAGGTAGAGCTCAATGTCCAGGACAGATCAAGAATATAATATAAAAAGGCTTAAACACTAATGTTCCATGGTTATAATTTTTTTATATTGGAATCGTAATCACGATCCAATTATTCAGACCTATCTTATGATATATATATATATGTATGTATGAAATATATATATATATATATATATATATATATATATATATATATATATATATATATATATATGGATGAAATATATATATATATATATATATATATATATATATATATCCGAATGGTCTAATGCACGATGGATCAGAAGGTGGTTTCTTCTGCAAAGGGGGACACAGCTTCACATATCTAAGGAAGGCATCTTTATTAAGTTTTCTCCAATGCGCACATGCAGACGAGTTCAGCAGCTATGTAAAAGCTATAGAAAAGCATGTAAGATAAGAATGTGTCTTCTCACCGGACTTGTTCAGCCTATTCAGTGGGAAGATTCTGAGAGAACTAGAGATCCTACCAGGATTCATTATTGGCGGCCACAATCTTAGCAACACAAGATATACAAATGTCACAGTGTTGATAGCAGATACGGAAAGAAAAAACTTTTACAGGAGATAGTGAAGGTAAGCGAGAAGAAAGGATTAAACATCAACTGCAATAAGACACTGCCTGGTTGTTAGCAAAAATTTGGGACCAAAGTGTGAATTGAAAATCGGATATTCCAAAATCTAACAAGTCGGAAATTTAAATATTTGGGAAGATTTTTTTAACAGAAGACGGAAATTGTAAAAATGAAATCCAAAGACGTATTGGGATAGCCAAGCATACCAAAAGCTAAGCAGGGTTCTAAGAAATAGAAACATTTCACTAGAAACAAAGAAAAGAGTACTAAACTGCTATGTAATACCAGTCCTCCTATATAGCAGTGAGTTCTGGATGATCTCCACAAGGATGAAGAGTTGACTTGAACCAACTGAAATGTAGTTATACAGGAGGAAGCTGAGGATGCTGTCGGCCAAACATGTGAACAACAACTAGGTTTTGGAGAAAATAGAAACAAAAAGAAAATTAACAATTATCATTAGGAAGAATCAGTTAAGGTTTTTGGGGAATACAATGAGGAAGGTAGGCTTGGTAAATTTGATACTCTCGGGAGGGATAGAGAGCAAGAGGGACATAGGAAAACAATGAAAAACATACCAAGTGAATTTGAGTAAATGGATGGGCTTAGGAGAAATAATAGAAATACAAAGTTTAAGAGCTACAAAAGAAAAGAAGTTGTGGAGATCCATGATCCCCTACGTCATGAGGGGACACGGCATATAAAGAAGTATGCGGAGACAGGTAGTCGATATGAAATTTTTAAAAACAGGACGTCCTAATCAAATATGGCCATCCACTAAAAATAAGGTTTGATGTAATAAAAAAAAAGGATTCCTTTATATATTCTGCGAGCATTCAAAATATACAAGCCTTCACGACGAAAATAAAATGCATGATGTAATAACAAGTTTTTTTCGTTATAAACTGGAAAATTGAATTTTAAAACCAGATAATTAAAAAATAAATGCATTAAAATACTTAAGAACTAAATAAATAAAATCAGGAATAACACATGAATGAAAATAAAACAATTATGGTGAACGCATTTCGCAGCGAATCGTTGTATCCCAAGTCAGTGAATATATCAAAGGCAGTATATTGTAGACTGTAATGTTATAAATAGATTAAAAACTATTTATAATAAATATATTTTGTATTGATTTGGTAGCGAATAATGTGGTTATTTCCTACCGTTATATTACATAATAAGATTCATTTTCGGTTCGGAAAAAAGAATGAAGAACATTAGCCGATTCCCTACATAGACTTTTCCAAGAAATAAGACAGATTGTAAAAGGAAGCAACAAAATGAAATTTGACCAACGAACAAAATTCTAAATTCGCAGTGAAAGTAAATAATCTTGCAATGCATAAAACAAAATTTGATTTCTCACGGAAAATATGTAATTTATATATCTTATCTATTTAGAACCAATTTACTCTTGACTAACGATCATTTTATTAGTATACATACATATATATATATACATACATACATACATATATATATATATATATATATATATATATATATATATATATATATATATATATATATAATAAATAAATATATATACATGTATGTATGCATACATAATATATATTATTACATATAGATACATTTATCACAGATGTAAATATATATATATAAATACACACATTCAAATATACATACTCATACATATAAAATAACATAACGTAATTAGATACATAATATATATATGGGGGTGTGTGACGTGTATATGTGTTATTCAATGTGTAAATATATTATGACAAGTGTATACCGAGAATACATATATGTGCACACATAATTGCATGTATAGGTAAATGAGTACTTACACACACAAATTAATATACATAATGTGCACAAACACAGATTGATAAGAGAATGAGCACACACACATATATATATATATATATATATATATATATATATATATATATATGAGAATCATTTATTAAATCGAACCATTTCTCTAAATGACCAAACATACATTATGTTTTTGTTGATGATGGACGAGTTCCTTGGTCGGACTGGGAACTTATGAGCTCTCCCTTGCATTATTTATTCCCAAACAGACAGACAGAAGTCAAACACACACACACACACACACACACACACACACACACACACACACACACACACACAAATATATATATATATATATATATATATATGCGTGTGTGTAATTTTATTTATGCTTATATATTCAATTTCTGAATGCGTCTGGCAGAACTGATTATATATAAGTATATTCTTTAAGCACACATATACTCGCACACACACACACACACACACACACACACACGCATATATATATTTATGTGTATGTGAGTGTGTGTGTGTGTGCATAATATTTCTAAGTGTATTAGGCATAAAAGATTGTTGTTAATGTTGAGCGGAGCGCTGAAAAATGATTCGCTTGGTGACCATTAAAGAGATGCGAAAGTGTAGACGTGAAACTTCCTTGTAATGAGGCAAGATTCACTTTTCTTTTCGACGGTGAAAAACGATGAATAAATTGGATTAGAAACTCCCAGCTTTGATTTATTTCTTTCGCTGTTTTCTTTTCGGGCATTTTGTTTTCGGGCATTTTCTCCGATAATCCATATTTGGTAATCAGCCGAAGATATTTCACAGTCAAAAGGCAAATAGAAAATTGTAAACTATATCACAATAAAAATGTGGAGATGGGTAATGTCAAAACGACCATTGTTACGAATTTTCACACACACACACACACACACACACACACACACACACACATATATATATATATATATAAATATATAGATATATATATACAGCGAAACAGTCTGTCTGTGGATGACAATACACACACACACACACAGACACACACACACACACACACACACACACATATATATATATATATTTAATGAGGCATGGTGCAGTAGTGGATAGCGTCTCAGATTGAGGAGTATCCGGTTCTAGTTACAAAACAATAAGTTACATAACAATTAACAAGACAACTTACAAGGAATAAAGGGAGTCAAATTCTCCATAGCCAGACGAAGTAAGATCAGTCCGAATATTAATCAGCTTAGTATAAACTTATTAATCAACTGTTGAAGTCCTTAATCGTAGACTATTTAAGGCTATGAGCCAGGCCATCAGGTCGAGTGCTGAAGTAGTGAAATCTACTCTGCAGCAGATTTTTTTCTGCATTTACATGTGTGTTTGATTGGTGAAGGTGTGATTTATTACTTATTGTTCTGTTTGAGAATATATATATATATATATATATATATATATATATATATATATATATATTTTAACTTTATTTCAATCCTTTATGAGGTTCCGATCCTTAGCTATGATTAATTAATGATGAAGATGCCATTTTCGTTTATAATCGATTTCATCACGATTTTTCTGTTAAGCTTGGAGAGTATTTATCCATTCTTATTGCTCAAAGTAGAATCCAATAGTGTTATAAAAACCTCGAAGAATTATTGTCAGATAGTCTAAATCATTTCTAAGATACTACTGTTCAGAGCTTAATCTAAAAATTGGACAAATTTACTGTTACACGATTTGAACAATTTTGCTGTTACATCCTATATATGTGTGAAGCGTATGTGAGTGTGTGTGTGTGTATGTGAGTGTGCGTGTGTGTGTATCGCTTTCGTTTACTTAATTGAACACTGAATTTTATTTCAGTATACACCTCCCTCGCTCTTTCACTCTCTTTATATATATATAGACGCTAACAATATCTATCTATCTATCTATCTATCTATCTATCTATCTATCTATCTATGACAGTCTGTTCCATATCTATCTATCTATCTATCTATCTATCTATCTATCTATCTATCTATGACAGTCTGTTCCATATCTATCTATCTATCTATCTATCTATCTATCTATCTATCTATCTATGACAGTCTGTTCCATATCTATCTATCTATCTATCTATCTATCTATCTATCTATCTATCTATCTATCTATCTATCACAGTCTGTTCAATATCTCTCTCTCTCTCTCTCTCTCTCTATATATATATATATATATATATATATATATATCCCAACATTAGTGTTCTTTCTAAATCATTTATTAATGTTTATCATTACTGCACTCTCATAAACGTGATCCTTCAATATTTAATTCTACTGTCGATTACGTTTGCACTGAGGATAAATAGAGTCGCCTCGTCCGACGAAGGCGCACCCACTGCGATGATGCATGACTAAAGAAGGTTATTTGATTGTAAGAAAATCGCCCCAAGATAGGGATGACGACGAAGAACCAAAGTAAAGCAAAAATGAAGCAATAATACAATGCAAGAACGTTTTGAGAAAATATTGAAAAGAAACAAAAGCCGATAATCCATTCAAAACGAAGAATAGCTTATAAACAACATTCCGAAAAGAATATTAAAAAAATAAGCAGAACAATAAATATAAAAGATGTTTAAAAGAAAGAAAAAGATATATCCCCAAAATGTAGAATTTAAACAAAGCTAAAAGAAGAGTCTTCTGCAGGATCGGAGCGATGGAGGGATTTAAGAAATTACGGGGAGGAGGAGGAGGAAAAGGAGGTGGAGGAGAAAGCGAGAACGCACCAAATGCAACGTTAAAAAGTCGTGACTTTCTCCATTTATCAACTAAAAGAAAAACAACGTAAAGAAAAAAAAAAGCCATTTTTATGTATGTAATTTTAAAGTATTTTGGAATTGTGTCAAAAAATTAGATTTTTTTTTTCGCCTCATGTCATATCCTAATGATTTATGCGATATTTCCGAAGGAAAGTTTTTTTTTTCCAGAGAAACGTAATTCCACGCACGCGCGCACACACACACACAAACACACACACACACACACACACACACACACACACACACACACACACACACACACACACACACACATATATATATATATATATATATATATATATGTATGTATCTATGCAAGTATATGGTTATATACGGGTATACATATTTATACTTGCATATATGTATATATTAGGAGGGCTGAAAAGTTATCGGCCCAACCAGAAGGTATCCCCTACAAAATCTGATGCTTGGAAATTTGGTCAGATGTCTGGAAATGTACTGGGCCGATTACTTTTCCGTATCCCATTTTATATATATATATATATATATATATATATATATATATATATATATATATATATATATATATATATATTGTTCAAAAGTTGAATTAGACCAAAAAATAGTACTATTAAAAAGTGCTCAATAAACATATAAAAAGATTAAAAAAAAAAAATAACATGCGTAGCGTTTAAATATACAAAATTAGGAAATCAGCTGATTCTGCTTCCTTGTTTTCAACCTTTCGGTATCTTCAGACGATTGACCGAAATCACCCGAAGATACCAGACTAAGACTAATCATTTTAATATGTTTATTGTTTATATGTTATTTTCATAGATACATATATTTAAGTAAATGCTCTGTTTATAATAAATAGCATTACCACATTTTACCGGCCTGAATGTCCGAGAAATTTCATGGAAAATATGTGTCCTCCGACAGGAATCGAACATATAGCATGGGAAATTTATACTTTAAAAACAGTAATTCGACCATACTAACAAGACTCTTCCTCTGTAGCTGTATGGCATATCACGTCAGCTCATCAGTGTGACACGTACACACACATACCTTACACACACACACACATATATATATATGATTGATAGAAAGATAGATATATGTATTGTCTGTAGTCAAAACTGTTCCGAGCTCTTTCGACTAATTCTCTAGCCATTATCAAGGATGTGTTTTAGATGGTGAAATTCTGTGTGTGGTTGCTACATGGTAATTTCACAGGGTTGATATCATCCTTGATAATGGCTAGAGAAATGGCTGAGTAAGATCGGAATAGTTATAACTATAGACAATTCCTACATTCTTTAACCCCTGAAAAGCGGAAAGTGTTAGATTACTGGTAAAACTCAATAAAGGATGATTTAAATCTTCCTTCCTAATATATATATATATATTATTCAAAGAAGGGTGTCCTCCTAGTAGAATTAACGGTTCCATGTGAGGAGAACAAGGATGAGCGAAAGAAAAAAACAAAAACAAAAAACGCTACGAATTGCTGAGATCCGACTGCATGGAAAATGGATGGGAATGCCTACCAATTGAGGTAGGGTACCATAGATTCCTTGGCCGGTCAAACGTTAACATCCTTCTGAAGGTGAGCATCAATGGCCAGAAATTTAACCGTGCATTTAATTTAAATTAAACATCGTCTCCAAGAAAACAGCTGGTTAACTTAAATAAAACCGTGCACGCAATATTATATATATATATATATATATATATATATATATATATATATATCGGCAGAGATTGAGGAATTCCAGACAAATTCATTAGATTCACTTCCGTACTAATACCCTTGGGAAAGGTATTAATCCTCCTCTTCTCCCTCCAGCTAAGGGTAAATAGTAACGACAGGCTGGGTTCTATAGCCTTGGATGGAAACAGGTCTAGGAAAAGGACAACTCTGAATTCAAAACTTGGGGACCTTGTGGTACATATTGCACCAGGTCTCTGTATTAGGCCCTTAAAACAGTGTGGATGGTTCTGTACAAAGCCTTCACCTCTATAATCATATCATATGTGCTTGTATCTGGCTGTCGGTTCCTAGGACCTCAGCTGCTTGACCTTCATAGGTCGAATACGACGTAAGAGTGCCCATATATATATATATATATATATACATGGGGAGGTGTTTGCGTTCTTGTGTGTGTATATATTTAAGCAGCATATCTCAGCATATCTCCAGTCAAACATGATTCGTTGAATAATAGTACTTAAGTTAAAAAAAAGAAAACTGCGGAGCCTTTCTTGATGAATTTCATCTTAATATCAAAAAATTGATTAGAGAACTGGAAAGAATCAATATAAAAATAAGTATACACAATATCTATATTATTCAATGAAACATATATTTCTTGAAAAGTGGACAGACAAATCAGTCTACGAAACTCTGAGTCGGGATGCTGAACTTAATATCAATCAGCTAAGTGACAAAGATTTAATCATATTAATCCTATATATATATATATATATATATATATATATATATATATATATATATATATATATATATTTGGTTAGACTGATGTGAGTTTGTGACCCTGGGTTTACGCTTTTGCGATCGTCAGACAAACTGATTAATTTTGAATTTAAACATACAAATGCGTATGTATATAGACAACAGCACACATATACATACATATGTCAAATCCCATACTGTCCACCTATGTTTATATCTGTATGAGCCCCGGCGGACAAGCGAGTATGTATGCGTGTCGGTGTACCTTAACGGGTGTACGGACATGCATCTATGTTTGCGTTAGCATGAGTGACATCACGACGACGATCCCCCCCATCCATAGTAACACCAATACACGCAATCTACAGAAACCCAAAATTTTAAAAAATTAATCAGTTTACTGACGATCGCAAAAGCGTGAAACCCAGGGTCACAAACTCACATCAACCCAACCAAATATGTTAGCTCTATCTCTGATATTGAGCGCTTTCTAATAAGTACCGTGCATATAATATATAAATAATTATATACATATATATATATATTTTTTTTATATTTATATACACACACACTTTTCACACACACACACACACACACACACACACACACACACACACACACACACATATATATATATATCACACACACACACACACACACACACACACACACATATATGTATATATATATATATATTATGAAATGGATTTCCCATAATTATTTAATATATTTTTTGTTTATACTTTATTTTGATAGGTATAATTTACTTAAGTATGCATGTATATCAATCTACAGATCGATACACACGCCTAAATAAAAACAAATAACCTCTCTCTCACACACACGCGCGCGCACACACACACACATATATCAAAATAGTACATAAAATATATATAAATACTAGAAAATAAGGTCCATCTTCTGACATTATTTTCCTTTTTTCTATTTTAGCTGTGAGCTGTCTTTTGATTGGTTAATCTAAACTTGCCCACAAATGAGATTTTTAATGTTGAATGTTTAGTTTCCATCCGCTTACTTTTTAACTCTCAAATAAGCTACTGAAGTGTTTACTGATTTCCCAATTAAACCATTTTCCTCATAACTTATCTAACATCGCCTGATGGGGGACAATTTTTAAAGTTCCGAAACATGGACATTTTTGTGTAGCGATATTATAATAAAAATAATGAGCACATTTTTTAAAGTAAATGTTAAGATCAGTGGATTCTTTATCTCTTTGTTCTATCTCTTTATTTTTGTATATATATATATATATATATATATATATATATATATATATATATATATATATTAAGATGTAATTGTTCCACACTACTATAAATGAACGTTCAGGAAGAAAACCAAGTTAATACTGGAAAGAGCGATAACAGTTACTGAACTTCAGAAACTATTTTCTCAACAAGATTTTTTCCTGGAAAGATCTTACGAATTTTAACTGACACCAGTACTGGATGCTCGATCAATGCCGAATATTTCCTTATAGGGAAACAGCAAAAATTACCATTATCATTATCATTCTAATAGTTAGTTTGTCCTAATTGTACTTTTTGAACTGCTTCATTTTTTTCTTGGTATGCACTCTTTCAATATTAGTATCCAAACAATTATTAAATTGGTTGGCTGCCCATCCACTATTTGAATTTCTCTTAATACCACATTTCAAATGTCCTCTATGATATTTCGATCCGCTGAGAGGAGGCCATTTCAACAGCGAAAACACATTGTTGTCATACATGAACCGATCTACCACTATTGCTGATTTGTGATACGATGAGTTCTGCTGGAAGTGGCCATCAGTGTGATGGATGCACTGTAGGCAAGGAGTCAGCCATAATACTAAGAATGAAATATGTAAACGATCTTTTATTGGTATCAAGGGTCCGAATGTATTTTCA